TGATTTGATACCATATCTCCCCACTGGGAATAACTGGACTATATTCAAATGCTGTCTCAATGAGCATCTAGTGTACAGAATCTGGCAAGTGAGTGATAGGTAGGCGATACCGTAAAGCAAAGACCAGCAACTGCAATACCTGGGGAGCGCCCACAGTAATTCAGTGTGCACAGACAGTACACGGCTACCTTCACTGCTTCAGATCAGCTGAAAGACAAGGGAGAAAGCTGCACTCAGTAACTGGGAAAGGCCTCTATCCCACTGTAACAAGGTGTGCTAGAACATATCAGTAATAGCTAAGTATTTTATTTTCATTTATGAGCAAGTCAGAATATGCTTATTTAGAATCACAGAAACATACTACAATCCTGTCGAAAATGACTCCGATAAAGGGAGTAAAAAGCATCAAGAAGACCAAAGCAAATAATGCATGTGGTAGTTGACAAGAGCGGCTGCTGTGTCCTAAGACTATCAAGGGCTCCACCAACTGGGTCCAGTTTTTCAAGTCAGATGGGAGATTTGGATTTCGCTTTTCAGCACGTGATAAAGGCAAGCAGTTTTCCCATGTTTATTGCAGTCTCTGATTTCACCTTAGACATCTATTTTGTGATCATTTGGCTGCTGCGTGATCAGGTACCTCCATTACTAGAATGCATTAAATATGTCAAATGTACTAATGCATACTTCAGCAGTTGGCAGATACCATAAAAAGGAAACAACTCTGTAGCAAAGTCCAATATTATTGAGTGTGCAGGTTTAAAATTAGATACTTAATTGCATATTCAAAGCCTTAAATAAGTGCCACAATTCTTCCACAGTGCTGAGAAATTCAAAAGTATTAGGTTATTTAGTCACTTTAAAAAAAAAAAAGGCTTTGTTACCTAGTAGATGAGACATATCTTGTCTCATGCTGCTGGTACAAATCAGCAGGTATGAAAGCAGGTGCGAGCTTGAATCTGTGTATCCAGTTTTGCTTTTTGAAGCAGCTTAGAAACTGCAGAACTTCATACTTACAAACTGTATTTAAAAAGCCTGTGATGTAGTGACTCCTCTCCAGTGATGCTAGCATTACAAATTCTGCAGCATTCATCTCGACTGGTTAACTCAGCAACACAGTTAAAAATGTTTATGCATCCTTTTCAAAGGAAGTAGTCGTCTCATTGTGGCAGAACTGACAGGGAGAAAAACCCAAGGCTCATCTAGTTTCATGAAAAAAAAAACCACAACAAAACTATTTAGAATGTTTGCCTGAAGCTTTTCCTATTCTTTATCCTAGAGATGCTTCCCAGGACCATTTTAGTTCTCTGTATGCATAAGTATCATAAGATTTATGCAGAGTTGCTACTGGTATAGATGGAAATTATGGTAGAAGGAGACTAGAAGAGTTGTGCCTTTGCAGCAACAGTTGTCTCCTGCATTCAAGCCACCTAAACATGGACAGAATTCAGCAAGCAGAAAGCAAGACATCTTTCCTCTCCTTCCCAAGAAAGGAGATTTACGACTAGAGGAAAGAGAGACCATTCTAAATTATTGCACATCATTATTTCACTACTAAATCAGAAGTTAGGAGCTACCTCAGCAGCAGCACAAGTAGTCTATGAATGTCTCAATCTCCATCCTTTTCTTCCCTTGGCTACTCTCTCCAGGCAAAAAAGCCCCAG